CTTTCCCTTCTCCACTGGTCTCTCATAGTATCCCACTTTTTCCTTACCACAGCACTGACCACAACTTAAAACCATAAATGTATTTGTTTTCAATTGTTTTGTGTGGGACACCCTCACCAGACTATGCCCCATGAGCACAACATGATGCCTGTTTTTGTCAACGATGCAGACCCAGAATCTGGCCCAGGGTAACAGTGGATTTTTTGTTTTCCTTAGTGCAAAGAAGAAGAAATATTAAGACAACAGACCAAAGGAAGGGTCAAAAGATGAAAAGAGAATAACATCAAGGTATAGAGGAAGGAAAATGTGCCTATTTTCCCTGAGCCCAGCTCAATGAATTTCCATAAAACTGAAGTGCAAAATAACTAGAAAATAGTTAAATAAGAAGGTTCTGTCCCCTCCAGGCTTTTGTCCAAATGCATGACCATTTCTATGAATTCAATGCCCTCACAAAAGACTAACTCTCCCATAATAAGTATTTCTGCAATGACAGGCTAGAAAGAATGTGCATCTCTGAGGGATAAAATAAGTTAAATATCTCAAGGAGAAAGGAAGTGAAGGTTTCAGAGAAAGGGAGGAAAAAAGGCAATGTTTAATGGCGATCCCCACGGACCTGGAGCAAGGCCGTTTGGTCTAGATTCTACTCTGCCAGGAGGGAGGGGGTCACCAAGGAGTCCACTTACTTTTTCTTGGCCCCAGTTTCCTCCAGTATAAACCAGTGCTCCCTTTGGGCTAAAAAAGCCTATGGTCTTCTTAGTCATGCGTTTATATAATATTCATCCAATATGCAGTGGATCTAGATAAAGGTGTGTTTTGCCTCTGAACACACTGCCTTGCTTACTATTTAGGGAGTGTTCTCTGGACTGTTTTTTTGTTACCTTTGATTTAGGGGTTCATAAAACTTCAGTTCGTGTTGGTTACGCTGACCTATAACACCTTGAGAAACCAAGTAGAAATGTTTTCTGTAATAGCTTGAGTTAAAGGACATCATCCAGAAGAACAACGGACCGGAGACTCCTACTTACTATATTCTGAAACCTGAAGTGTATTTCTGACACTGTTTCACAGCTCAGAGAATATGAACCTTTTGACAGAATCTATCTGACCCTCTTCAGGACTGGCAGGCTTCAAACAGATTTCTTTTGATTTCAAAGCTGAAAAAAATTGGGCTGTCTGCCAGAAGACAAGCTCTTACTGATCTCATAAAAGTGACACGGCTAGAGCACTAGCTTGATACGATCAAGGTGCCAAGTTAGACTGAAAAGTCACCACAGCTTCCTCGGGAGGCACCTGGCCTGCTCTGGGCAGGAAGGGAGAACCACCGTGGCCGCAGAGTCTCATAAGACAGCGCTGTCTCTCTTTGCACAGGCCTTAATGTACTCTGACACGGCCATTTCTGACTGTAGAAAACACACAGTGATCATAGTAGTCTTCAGCTCACTGCTGGCCAGAGAGGTCTCTGGGGTAAAGCAGGTGAGGTAACGCAGGGGATGGCAGGACAGCGGCCCTCACTCCTCAACCTCCCTCCTGCGCTGGCTGTGCTCGGGCCTCTGGACAAGACTGACCCTGTGCACTGCACAGCTGCCCCAAGTTACCAACGGGCAGGAAGTTACAGGCAGAATTCAAGTAGAAAAGGGTGACCTAGGTGATACGCCTAAGTCTTCTGATGGTGTCTCCTCTTGTATCGTGTTGCACGTGCAGGTGTAAAGGTCCACACCAGGACACATGCTGCTGAGGGACTCCCCAAGGAGATGCCTTATACACACCAGCAAAGAATCACTAAGGTGCTAAGTGTAATGTTACTTCTATCTTAATGTGATTTGTAAACCGGAGACCCTGATCATTATTATAGCAAATGAATCTAGAAAAAACTAATGATCAGTTATACAATAAGACCTTTTTGTACCCCAAAGATATCTCAGAAGCCTTGTCTCAAACCCAAGGCCAAACGCTATGGCCTCTGTCCAAAGGTTCCTTTTCATGCACAGCTCCCGCAGTGGCTTTCCAGGATGACTTAATCCCTGGGTCAGCTGTATTCTAAACACAGCTTGGTTCTAACTCAATATTCTTCCCTTTTTTTTAGCTCCCGTATTCTCCACAATACTGTCATTTGGGGATTCTATACCTCATGATGTTTTTCTTTCATCCACCTGTATGACTATCAGCAATAAGAACCTCTCTGAGGTCCCGTTTCCTCACCTGTGAAATGGCGCTAAGGTCCTCCAGCCTCTGTTTACAGCTTCACGTGTGCAACGAAAAGCCCCCCACCACGATGCAGGCACATTCCACCTGAATAACTCAATGCTGTTTTCTTATTTTTGAGGTATGCCTGCCCTGCCTTCAATCCACCACGAGCACAGTCTCATTCGATATGTCCCGGGTGTATTACAAGGCACAAACCCAAAGCACTCACACGCCGACCACTGGCAGCAGCTTACCTTCCAATTTCTTCTCTTTGCTCAACAAGTAAAACAGGTGCCGCCGCAGAGCTGGAGGACAGCCTCCGAGGAGCGCGATGCTCAATGCCAGCTCTGCCGCCTCAGCTCCGGCTGTGCCTGCCCCCCTGCAGCGGTGCCCCGCGCCCTGCTCACTCGGTACTCCCACCTTAGAGCCTAGCACGGCTACCGACCGCGAAAAAAGCTAAGCAAGACAAAACCTCTGTCTAACCTGTAACTGTCTCAGGTAATCCTATTTAGAGTTACACAAGTTTAAGTCTAGCACAAAACTGGTCGACAGCTACAAGTCATGTTAAAACCTAAAGATGGATATAATGGTTTCATTTTTTCTATAATTCCAAAAGAAACATTCTCTAACTCTACACCTGAAGGGACTTTTTCAAATTCATGGTACTTTAAAATAAGTTGCTGTCCGCTGGTCCACTGGAAGAGGACTCACGGTTAACAGGGCAGGTTTCCTGCTTTTTGCTCTTTCTGAAAAACATCAGAAGGCACAACTGTAAGGACAGGGTGACTGTGAATTACTATTTCTTCAGTAGTGTTCTCCTAATAGTAGAGAGACAAAATGGTTGTCTGATGAACTGCCATCTATGCTTTTCATTTCTATTCTGTTATAAATCTGTCTTACTGCTTTGAGGGCAATTTAACATAAAAAGATAACCTCAGAAGAGTCTGACATAAATAAATAAACTCTCAGTCAGCAATGTGTCTATAGCTATTTGAAAACACATAAAACCAGGAGGAGCCTAAGTCTCAGTAGAAAAGATGCCATTCCCACAAGTTGTTGGAGCAAAGTACTTTGAATCACAGGTTTGCCCTCGCTTTCGTAGCTACCTAGCCATCCTGTGTACCAAGGCAGCCACTATCCACATAAACTTTAAAATAAAGTTAATTAAACTTAAATAAAATTTAAAATGTAGTTCCTCGGTCCCACCAGCCATATTTCCTACGTGGTGGTCAGTGGTCACCTCACTGGTTAGGGCAGTAAAAAAATGTTTGCATCACAGCAGAAGTTCTGCCGAGAGCTCTGATGCAGACTAGACAGCACCATCTGGGAGCCACAGGTTTACCAGCTGCCATTTACTTATTCAGGTTTTTAAGACATAAAACTTGATAGCTATTGCAGTGGTCTTTTTAAGTACGTGACCATGCCTTGGCTTTCTTATAACAATACCAGTTGTGCTTGTATTACTTTCAGTAACATGAACTATTAAAGGTAAAAGTAAATGCGACTAACTTTTTCAGTAAGGACTTTTTATACAAATAGACAAAATCCTCTGTCATACCATGTGTCCCAAATTCTGAGGTAAATAAAAACCAACCAAACAAATATAACCCATGTACATGGTGAATACAGTGAAGAAATTGCTGAGAAGAGCCTCCACTTTCTCCAGGTGAGTCTGGGCACCTGCACCTGTGTCTCGTCACTCACCGAACTCCAGGAGGGTCTGTGCCATCTGCCTGCTGACACCTGCAGCGAAGAGAGTAAACTCTCTGCACCACCACCCGGACCCCGGCTCCCGACCAGGTGGCAACTCCTTGGCTTTCGACTGCATCCAGCAGAGAATCCCTCAGAGGAGCTCGGGCGGGGAAGTCCAGCTCTGCTTGTTCGTGCCTGAGGGTCCAGTCTGTGCCCACGGTGGTGTGACCACCACACATAACCTGGCAAGACACGCAAAGGGAACAATTCCAGTATGACCCACGAGGGCACACTACATACCAAACCCCGATGTGCTTGGGGAACCCTAAGCATCGGGTGTGACTGCAGGACACTCAAGGAATGACAAGGACAGATGCACGCCCATGGTGCGGGGCTCCCATCCGCGGGCCACCAACGTGGCCGAGGAGGCCTGGTGAGTCGAGGAACAGGGGAGCGGCAGGAGGACAGACCACCTCGGGGATGTGAAAACATGGAGAAAGTACTGCTATTAAAACACCTTATGGTGATTAAAAAATTTTTCTTTTATGAGGTAACACTCTCAATAGCACAAACTACAAAACAAAATAAAAGAATGACTAGGGTTATTATGAAGTGCCAGCATGTTGCACACTCCTGTGAACAACATGCAACACCTTTATGATCCTAGTAAATATCCTAATAAATAAATATCCTCTAGAGTGCTCCGTGCTTCCTACACTGCAGCACTTTTCTTTACATACGATGCTGTGTAACAAACACATTTAACCTCACAACCCAAGGAGGCAGGCTGCATAGTTACCACTGTTTGACAGATGAGAATGTTGAGACAGGAGTTCAGTGTCTTACCCAAGGTCACCCAACAGCAAGTGGCTGAGGCAGGACCCGAACTAGGCACCTAGTTCCAAAGTCCACACGCTTAACCACTAAGCTCTACTGCCGCTCCACTAGCACTGACGTGAGACGAAGACACGCCTCATGAATTTAACACCACATAGCTGTCTAAAACTGTACATTAAAGCAGTAGTGCACTTTGAGCTGTATTTTTCATCTGTTAAATTAAATTGATTAGACAGCCCTCCTTTTCACATAATCCTCTCCAGACACACGCTCTGACAGTCAAAGGGAGCTCCTGCTCAACTCCACACCTACAAAGTAGGTTCAAAGTCTGTTTCCTTTCCTTTCCGATGTCCCCTCACACTGTCAGCCTCAGTATTCCGCTCTGTGCTGACTGGGATAACTAGGCGACCCTGAGGCAGGTGCACTGAAGTCAGACACTTGGAGCCCAAGTGGTCCTGGGGGTGTCCTTTGTGCCACCGCAAGTGAAGTTTAGTGGTCCCCCAAGTTCATCTTGGTGGATGACCATGGCTCAGGGCCACTAAAATTCCAAAAAGCAAAATCTCCAGTGTATAACCTCAAGTTTATGCAGCTCTTTTTATCCCAAGGGATACAGATGTTATGAAAAAGAAAAACACGATTTTTTTAATAAATAAAAGAGGCTTAAATAAAATTCTTAGGCAATTATGAGAAGAGAAAAAAAAATGAAAACTCATATTTTAATAAAGATTACATATATAGTTGCTGAATATTTGGAAAGGACCAAAGGTAATCACCTCTATAAATTCCAAAGCCTTTAAACGCAGTATTACTACAAAGCAAAAAACCTCTAAGTCAGTGACAGTTTACCTGGTTTTCAGGTGAGTTATTTGTTACGCTCTTAAATTTAAACACGTGGGCCAAAATGATGCTTCTTCTCGGAAGGGGTGTGTCCCAACTGTGCACTTCATGTGTTGTTTTTGAATCTTCTTTGGCAACAACTTTCTGACAAAAATAAGTATTCAGAATAACAGGGCAACTTCCATTTGGGATAATAAGCTTTTGCCTGGAAAGAGAAAGAAATACAAATACAAGTTTATCTGCAATGCTGGATTCCCCTCACCTTCTTGCTAAATCACAAAGGGCAACGACTTGCTGGCTAAGGACACAGGCCCTAGAGCAGCTGCCAGTGCATCTGGCTCTGCTCTTCTGAGCAAGTCTTGTGTCAGGAGTGGGGGTGGAAGGGGCGGCAGTGCTCGAGCTGGAGGTCCCCCAGGGCCTCCCAGGCTGCTGGACGGTGGCCTCAGGGCCCCTCGGGGAAAGTGCTTGGCGG